TAGAGTGCTGTGGTGTCAGCCTAGCTCACAGCAACCTCAAACTCCTGGGCTCAGTTTACCTTCCTCCTTTAGCCTCCCAATTAGCTGGGACTACAGGCATGTGCCACCATGCCCAACTAATTTTTTCTATTTTTTAGTAGTCATGGGGTCTCGCTTTTGTTCAGGCTGGTCTTGAACTCCTGAGGTCAAATGATGTGCCCCCCCTGGCCTCCCAGAGTGCTAGGATTACAGGCGTGAGCCACCACACACAGCCAACTTCTTCACCTCTCTTTACCTTCAAATAATTGAAGAGAGTTATAGTCTTATTGTAAATTAGGCTTTGACTCAAGGAAATGTTGTAGCTGGTTTGATTTTCTATCCTGATCACTAAAACTTTCCCCATATCAGCAATAGGCTTTTTTGTTTTCTTATCATTCATGTGTTCACTGGAGTAGCACTTTTTAAATTTAAGAATATTATGGGGGTACAAATGCTTTGGTTACATATATTGCCTTTGCACCATCCAAGTCAGAACTACAAGCATGCCCAATCCCCAGACATCATGTGCCATAGCCATTAGGTGTAAATTTACCCATCCCCTCCCCCAACCTGTCCAATGCCCTAAAGAATGTTTCTTCCATATGTGAACATAAGTGCTGATCAATTAGTACCAATTTAATGGTGAGTACATGTGGTGCTTGTTTTTCCATTCTTGTGATAATTAGAAGAATGGGCTTCAGCTCCATTCAGGATAGTACAAGGGGTATTATTTCATCATTTTTTTGGTTGAGTAATACTCTATGATATGCATTACCACATTTTATTAATCTACTCATATATCTATGGGCACTTGGGTTGTTTTCACATCTTTGCAATTGTGAATTGTGCTGCTGTGAACAGATGTCTTTCTTATAGAATGTCTTTTGTTCCCTTGGGTAAATACCCAGGAGTGGTATTGCTGGATCAAATGGTAGTTCTACTTTGAATGGCACTTTTAATTTCTTTTAAGAACTTTTCCTTTGCATTCACAACTTGGCTAACTGTTTGATGCAAGAGGCTTAGCTTTTAGCCTATTTTGGCTTTTGATATGCCTTCCTCACTAAGCTTAATCATTTCACTAGCTTTTGGTTTAAAGTGAGAGACCTGTGACTCTACCTTTCACTTGAATACTTAGAAGCCATTATAGGGTTATTAGTTGGCCTGATTTCAATATTGTTGTGTTTCAGGGATTAGGGAGGCCCAGGCAGAGGGATAGAGATGGGAAATGTCTGGTTGATGGAGCAGTCAGAACACACACAACATTTATCTATTAAGTTCATCTTCTTATATTGGCATGGTTCATGGCAAACCAAATAATTACAACAGTAACATTGAAGATCCCTGATCACAGATCACCATAACAGATATAACAATAACAAAAAGTTTGAAATATTGGTAGACTTACCAAAATGTGACACAGACATGAAGTGAGTACTTGCTGTTGGATAAATGGTGCTGATAGACTTGCTTGACATAGGGTTGTCATAAACCTTCAATTTTTAGAAAAGTGCAATATTTGCAAAACACAATAAAGTGAAGCACAATGAAGTGAGGTATGTCTATGCTGCATTGTCTAGGGAATAATAACAAAAAAGTCTGTACATGTTCAGTATAGAAGAATTAATTTTTTTCAGATATTTTCAATCCATGGTTGGTTTAATCCACAGGTGCAGAAACCACAAATATGGAAGGCTGACTGTATTCATCATCAAATTGGTCAGTATGGAAAGATCCTTCTCTAACTGAGAGATTACAAACCTGATTGTCATGAATTCCAAAATGTATATGAATTTTAACTTTAATGTTGTGCAATAATTACTTTTCTCAAAGTATTTTCTTGTTTATTTTCTGGGTTTACCTTTTAATAATTTTTTTTCATTTTAAATATTAATACTTCAACCCTACAGAAAAGTTTAAAGAATTACACAGTGAACACCTTCATATACTTGCCCTAGATTTACCAATTATTAACATATTACTACATTTACTTTATATGTCTGTCTCTATGACTTTTTTCTAAAGGATTTGAGAGTAATTTATAGACATATGGCCCTTCACTTCCCAATACTTCAACATGTGTCTCATGAGAACAAGTCAATCATCCTACATTATCTTACCAAAGATCTTTTACATTGATGTAATATTATCTAACATAGGTGTCCATAAACTACGGCCCATGGGCCACATGCGGCCTGCCAAGGACATTTATCTGGCCCACCGGGTTTTTTTGCCACCGTTGTGTGTCCTGCTTAGCAGCCGACAGTGGGCCCACAGTGTGCATGTGTGGAATGTGCGCGGTACTCTCCAACGGCCCTCCAATGGTCTGAAGGACAGTGAACTGGCCCCCTGTTTAAAAAGTTTGAGGACCCCTGATCTAACATGTAATCTATATTTCAATATTCCCAATTGTCCCTCAAATATCTTTTCTACCTGTTTTGTTTTCTATCCAGGATCCAATCACACATTGCATTTGGTAGTCATTTCTCTTTAATCTTCATTTATCTAGGATAGTTTTGCTGACCCCTCCCTTTTAAAAATATGACAGTGACAGTTTGAAGGGTTCAGGCCAGTTGCCTTCCAGAATATTCCACAGCTGGATTTACTGATTGTTTCTTCATGATTTGATTGAGAGTAAATATTTCTGGCAAGTACTTAAATAGATTCACTATGCTTCCCATTTCATCACATCAGGAGGCACATTTCAGTTTGTGTGATTATTCGTGACATGAAGTTAATCCATTGATTAAATTGGCGTATGCCAAATTTCTCCATTGAAAATGCACATTCACATCTTTTTTAAATTAATCATTAATCTATGGATGATACTTCAAAATCCTATGAATATTTTCTTCCTCAATATATTTTTCAACCAAGGTTTTGGTATGCATTGAGATCTTTGCCTAAATCAGTTATTATGCTGATGGTTTCTAAATGGTCATTTACTAATTCCGTCATTACTTATAAATATATAAACTATTATTCTTTTGTAAAGAATTGATTTTCCTTCTCATTACTACTTTTTAAAAACTATCACTATGGACTCATGGATTCATTTTATTCAATGTTTTATATTCAGCTACCATCATTATTCTTTTTGATGTTAAAATTTACTAAATTTAACCAGTGGGGGCCCTTTCAAGCCATCTCCTTCCTGTGTCCTTTTGATATGTTCCCCTCATGATTTGAATGATTAATTGCTTTGTGATACAAGATATTTTAAGGTCACCTTGTATTTTTCCTACCCCAGATATAGAATAGGCTATTTCTCCAATAAACCTTGGTTTCTTTTAATGGAGAACAGTATTTAGAAAGCAACATCTGGGCACTAGTTGTATTCATTCCTGCTTGTGTGTCATATTCATTGTCGCTGGGGTGCCATTGCCTCCTCTCAGTGGACAGACCTAATAAGGTATATTTTAGAAAATTGTGAGTTTGTATTAATACCTCCAATTAAAATCTATCACTATAGGTTTCTTTAGGATCCTCTTCACTTTCTCAGATTCCATACTGGTATCTCTTTACTCCCATAGTGAGAACTCTGGTTCCCCCTCACCCCTGCAAAAAAAAAAAAAAATCAGTGTATTTACTCATTACTTCTAATCATACAGTATATAAACACATGATATGTGTGTGTCTCTTATAGTACATATTTTTGAATTTACTTCTACAATAACATTACCATTAACAAAGATTATATTTAGGCTTCCTGGTTAGAACCAAATGGTGACATGTAGATTTCTGGGCTTACTTCTAGCCTTCTGAAATAGAATACTTAGGAACAGATCCTTGTAGTCCTCATTTAAAAAATTAACACTCCAGGTGATTCAGAAGAACTTTGATGTTTGAGATGCAGTGATGTAGTGATTAGGAGCATGGGCTCTAGGTAAGAAAGATTGCCATCCTTGTTCTGTTACTTAATCTTTTCAGTTTCTTCATCTGTGCAGTGGTGATGATAATAATCTCTTCAGGTTCATCATTTGGTACTTAGAAAAGTGTCTGGCATATAGTAAATGCACAGTAAATGGTACTGATCATTTTTTTTAGTATAAGGTATTGAACTCGATTGTCACATATTTCCCATCTGGTAAAAATTAAGTTAATTTATAGAAATAATTTATGTAATGTTGTATAGTTGTTCTGAAGTGAATGAATTTATGAAAATAAAAATAAAAATTTTGTTAAAGTTACACTGTAAAGGTAAGTGCACGTTATCAGTTGAGATGTACAAATATATGTTTAGACATTAAAAAATTAAATATGTGTTTCTTTACTTCTTCCACTCAATGGGAGTCCAATAGTTTTTGGGTAGATCATGTAGCAACCCAAATTGTCAATGTTACCCAAAGTCGATGAAAGAAAAAAATAAGTTTAACAGAATACCTTTATTTTGCAACATGTACAGATTGTTAGATTACGAACTTTTAGAAGGGAGATGGACTGCATTTTTAGTCACTTTTATAATCCCTGCCCCCAGCACAGTATTTTGAATGTGATGTGACTCCACACGTATTTGTGGGATGAATGAATTGTTTGCTCGCTTTTTACATTGCAGTAAAATAGACATAACATAAAATTTACCATTTTAACTATTTTAAGTGTGCATTTCAATGGCCTTAAGAACATTCACATTAGAGCAGAAGTCTAGTGAGAGCATTATACCAAGGGAAGGGACTAGAAAAATCTTTGCTTTTTATTGTGGAATGTCATTTGAATCAGAAATCTTCTTCTGTAGAACTTGTTATTGAATTCCTGACTTTCTTTATTGCTTACCTGGGAAAACCCATATTGAACAATAAAGTGATAATGCTCATCATCGGAGATTAGACCTCTGATGCCTAGTAGGACCACTGCAGGAAAAAAAAAGTTAACGAGACTGTTGCTAGGAGACGGGAGAGCCAAAAGCTTATGGTCTTGTAGGGGTTCCACTGGAAATCAAGGCAGTTTAAGTGTGTTTTGGATTAGAGGTTTAGCTATTAAAATCCATCCTTTGATGAACGTGCACATTTTAGCGTAGAATGTTTAGTATGATTTCATGTTTTTGCAGGGTTTTTGAGGAGAATCTCGAGGCATTTTGTTTCTTTCCACAGGACTAATCCCTTCTTTAGGGCACAGCTCATTTTCAAGAGGCGGTTGCGCTGCTGCTTTGCCCCCCACCCGTTCAGTGTGACAGCCTCAGAGCTGGTGGAGAGACAGAGAGCATGCCACTGGTAAGTAGCTGAGAAATATTTTGTAATATAGATATCCAACCTAGGTGTTTTTGGTTTTTTTTTTAAGCAAGTGACATAGTTTGGTGGAATAGAATATACAGAACTGTGTTGGAATTTCTGATTCTAATCAGTGGCATTGGTAAAATGGCTTAATTAAATTCTAAATGTTTCATGGTCACTTTTCTAGTTTAGAGCTTGCTTCTTAAATGCTGAACGAATTGCTAGAAGGAAATATAGAAACTTCCCCTTGTGATTCTGGTAAGATACTTCCCCAAATAAGATTTAATGAAGATGTTAATAAAATGGGAATTGCCTTCAGAATTGTATCTCAGCTTTATGATGTTTAGATTAGATGTGATGCAGTGGGTTATGACTCAAGATGTCCTCAGATCTGCTTTCTTTTCTCACTGTGGAAAGATCATAAGAAAAGTATTAGTTTGCAATGGAGAAAAGTATATTATGTCTCATTTTTTATTTTTTTAAATTTATTTATTTTAATTGAAAAACAATAATTGTAGATATCCATGCAGTAAATAGTGATGTTTTGATACATATAATGTATAGTGATGATGTCTGTACTGGAGAGCATGGGCAAGAGGGCAGCCTGTAATGATATTCACATTGATTGCTTCATGTGAGATAGGAATGTGTGTTGAATCCGAAAGATTAAAATTTGGCTTAATGATGAAAAATCATGAAAAATGACTAATGAATATTGCTCTTGTGTTTTCAATAGAAAATATTCATTTGTAGTTTTGGCCATGAATTTGTACAGTAAAGACAGAATGTTCGTGGTATTTCTTTTTTTGAAAAAGAATGTGAGAAAGCAGAGATTCTTATCAACAAAGCTTTTATGTTTGTTTTTGAATATGTATATGCTTTTCTGTTTCTGTAAGAGAAAAGAAGGAAAATGTGAAGTTTTCTTTTTAATTTCTCTGAAATTCAGGTTGTTTTGACACTTGAACAGCAAGAAAATAGAAAAAAAATACAGCAGATAGGTTGATTTTCTGCTATATGACAAAGCAGAAATCAAGGATGAAAAATAAGAATGTAAAAGCTTATAAGAAAGTCCACAAGATGGGCTATTTCCCCAAGTTGAACATGTCTGTTGGTAGCCTATTTTGCAGAGGGAGAAAACATGTTGAAGTCAAAGGGAGGGGGTGTTAAACAGAGCACTGCGGCAAAGATAGTGACTGACGCATCCAAAGACATGTGACAGTTCTCTGGTGTAGTGAAGAAAATTTTCCAGGACTCCATCTTGTATAAGAAAGTCTATACATACTAACATGAAAATAATGCTGTAATCTTTCTGTAGTACATAATAAGTTCGTTTTGCAATTCTCCATTGGTCTACAGTGGAATTTAGCCTTTGCTTTTCAATTGTCTTTGTTTCTAGACTTTCTTCTCTGTGCTCCCAGTGCATTTAAACACTTATTAAAATATTTTATTAAAAATAATGGCTTTCCCTTCTATTATAAAAATATTATATTCGTTGCAGAAAATTTGGAATAATCTAAAGATGACTATAAAATTACCCATAATGCCATAACCTAGAGATAATTGCTATTAGTATAATTACTGTCAGTGTCTTTTCTCTGAATATATGCAAATAAATACATAAAAGTATATATTTTTTACACAAAATGAAGATCATATGTACATACAGTTTTTAACCTGCATTATTCATTAAACATGTATTTGGAGCAATTCTCCTTATTTAAAAGTATTCCTCAAGAATGTGATGTTTGTGGATGTATAATTTTCTAACTAAACGTCCAATTATTGAATGTCTATATATGCATTTTTGCTATTATAAATAATTTAAGGAATATCTTTCCATATAAATCTCTGTGTGCTTTTCTGGTTTTCTTCCCCCCTAGGATAAATTTGTAGACGTGGAATTCCTGGACCAAATGGTATGAACCAGTTTAAGGTTTTTTTCATATCAAAACATATCGTTTGATTTATATATCATATATGGCAAAAACATTATTTTCCAGTTGTTGTTTGCCTATTGATTTTTATCATTTGTGGTGGTGATATTTTGACATTTTGCAGCTTTACATTTTTAGGTATTCATATCTGTAATTTTTAATTTTGTGATTTGTTTCTTTTCTTTGATGAACATATTCACCTGTATCTTTTTCCTATTCATTTAATTCCTTAATTTTTTATGATTAACTCTTTAATCTATCTAGAATTCATTTTGGTATATGATATAAGGTAAGATCTAATTTTGTTTTTTTTTCCTCAAATAGGTCACCAATTGTTTATGCATCATTTATTGAGTAATCCAACCTTCTTCCACTGATCTGAAATGGCAACAACTGTTCTCCTATTAGATAGGGTGTAGCTTCCTACAAGTCAGCCATTTTCTCTTTACTCAAGATGGTTACATTCTGTAATAGTACTCCTACCTTCTTGCAGCTTCTGACAGCATACTAAAGAATCACATTTGTGCTTATGCCTTTCAAAAATTCTAGGCATATGCAGTTTAGGGTAGTGGTTTTGAAACAGAATTCTTTTCATTTTAAATATTTAAAAATTGTCTTTTTGTCGCATGCTTTTTATAAATTAAAATTGAGGAATCCAAATATACAAAGCCACTCTTCCAGGTGTGCTGTTCCTCTTGTACACACCTGACATACATCCAAATTGTGTGTTTAAAAAACATCCTTCCCCCGGGGATAGTGCTAGTCCTAAGGTTGTTCCCTCAACCTCTTTTTCTACTCCTCAGGTATTTGGAGAGTTAAAGTTTTGTGGACTCAGTTGGTGGTATTTTCTAGAATGGTATAAGAGGGAAATGTAGAAATGTATAAAGAGTAGAAATAATATCTTCCAGCCTGTTGCTGGCAGTAGGCTGATGTAGGGTCTTAAAAGAGCTAGGGTGAGTCCCAATCCATGCTGCCATTGCCACCATCTCTTCTAGATAGGGACACACTCCAATGGTCCACCTCTTTTCACTGCAGGTGGAAGGCTCAAGACATAAAGCACCAAGTTTTTAAATAGGAGATGGGTTAAATATTGCCCACAGAAAGATTTGACTGTTAAAATCACCTGCTACCCACTACTCACAGTCTCCGGCACCAACAAAGCCTTCTTTCTCTATTGACTTCTGACCCTGGCCTCTAGCTATACTGATTCTGGGGATAAAAAGGTGAGGTGAGTATGTGTGGGAGACTGCCTTGCCTGCCATGATTCCAAGGGGCTCCTTTGGCTAACATCCCCAGCCCCAGTCCTTTCCTTACTTGCCACATTAGGCAGTGATTTGTTTATGACTGGAGGCTGGTTTCCCTGGCAACGGCGGTTCACCCCTGCTATGCATTCTCTCCTCTGCAGTAGCAGAATGCAGCTGTAGGGGCAGGAATGGTCTTGGAGACCTGCAGTGGCTGAAGGAGTTATTTGGCAGAGATGACGTCAGTTTTTCTGTGCTAAACTGCTATCGTTATTGTATACAGAACATTGCATTAAAAAAAAAAATCCTCGGAGGGCTTTGAGCCACTCCATTTTCCTTCCTCCCAAATTAACTGCTTTTAATATGTTTACCAGTGATCATGAAATCTTTCCAATGTTTGAGGCCACTGATGCTCTTAGGGCCCCAAGGGGATTCATAATAGTGTGGGTATAGGAAACAGACTGCCTGGTTTCAAACCAGTACCACTTGCTAGGTGCATGATCATGGGACAATTACTTAATGGCTCTGTGCCTCAGTTTCCTCAGATGTAAAATGGGGATAACCTTTAGAACAATGTCTGGTACATAGTAACCATTATATAAGTGTTGTATATTATTATTTGTAGATATTAAGGGAGACTTGCCTGGAAACAGATTTGTGGCCGCAATGTACAAACTCACCCTCTCATGCTCACACTGGCCAAATAATACAAACATACCTTTAGCCCTACTGCACAAAGACTCACCCTACAATACACAGACACACCCTAAGTCACACTGACAAGCACCACAGCAAAAAGACTTGGCCCAGAGTACACAGAGACACTCCCCATACCACTAGATTCTTCCAGAGGCATATATGTTCTCCCCAACACAGACACTCACCTAAGGGACACTGACCTAACCCACATGATACAGACTCACCCCACAATAAAGACTGTACTCATGACACAGACAATCCTGACATTACACACTGTCCTCACATGACACAGACTATTCCCAGGACACACACTGCATATAGACTCACCCTACAGAACACAGATTCTCCTATAACCATACATTTTCTCCAGGCCAAAAAACTCACCCCACATCACACAGACTCTCTCCTCCCAGCATGCAGACTTTTCTCATGCCTTACTGACTAAACCCATAGCTGAGACTCTCGCTACAGAACACAGACTTCCCTCATATCACGTTGACCCTCACAAGAGCAGACAGCCTCGTTCTGTGGCACAAAGACTCTCTCCACTTCACACATTCTCACCACAGAACATAGATTCTGCCTACAGCCCACAGACTTGCCCTAGAGCACATGGATTCTTGCCACAGAATAGACTTTCTTTCTAGAACAGACTCATGACACAGCCTGAAGATCCACACATGACACAAAGACTCTCTCACAACAGACAGACTCACCCAGTGGTACACAGACAAGCACCTCAGGCCACAGACCATCCTGTCAGGACACAGACTCACCCTACACTACCAGACACTCCCCAGATCATGCAGACTCACTCCACAAAACGCAAACTAAACCCATAATACAGCTCTTCCTACAGCACTCAGACAAGCTTATTCCCACAACACAGAGATGCAGCAGCACATCTTATAGCACATATATCATGCCCTGATGCTCAGGATTGTGCCACAACACACAAACTTGTGCTGCAATTCACCAATTCATTTTACAACAAACCCACTTACCATACAATACAAATACTTGCCCCACAGTGCACTCATTTGCCTGGAAACATCTGGACCTTCCCCTAAACACACAGTTACCGCAGAATGCATATTGTGGTCCTATATCACCAAAATACACCCCAAATTCCTCAGATACACTCTGTGATAGACATGCCTCACAATGCACAGCTTGGCAGCACAGCATGAAAACTGGCCCTACAGCAGACAAACTAGTTCCACAACAGACGCATTCATGCTGCAGACACCTAATCTTTCTCTTAAGTATTCAAAGCTGCCCCTTAGGGTACAGTCCGAGATGTGATCTACAATATCCTCACTCATTCCACAACACTGATGCAGCCTACAACATACAAACATATCCCACAGAAAAATATTCCACCCCCATAGTGCTCAGAATTGTGTCACAACACATACTTGCATACAGATCCATTTCACAAAACAGCATTTCTTACAGTGGCTATACAATGCAAACACATATCCCCAAACACATGAAACAGTTTGCTATACCACTCTCAGGTTTATCTCAAGGCATATAGACTGATTTTACTGCTCAAGCTGCTGCCTGCAAAACAAGATATGCCCAATCAGGCACAGAAATCCACCAAAATGCATAGATTTGCCCATCGATATACATACTTGCCTCACAACTCACAAATACCACTGAGCACCATGACCCACCCTAAATATATGAACAAGCCCTTCATGAAACAGACTTACCCAATAACATACTCAGTCACACTCACAACACTTAGACATGCCTTACAATTCACAGGCATGCCTGTAAACACATAGATTCCTTCCATAGTGCACAGAACTGCATCACAACACAGACTGACTGTACAGTCCAAAAACCTATTATACACATAAACATTCCCCAGTATGTCACACACAACACAAATATTACCCTTACAAAGCAAAGATTTCCATCTTTCCGTTATAGTGGACAGACATGATTTACCATACTATTGAGCTACAACTCTGGCCTACAACAGAGATTACAGCTTGTGTAATGGTTACGAGCAAGGCCTATGGACACAGACTACCTAGATTTGAATCAAGGTCTCCAATCTCTTGCTAAGTGTATCATCTTGGGTAAGTATATTTCTTTGTTCTTTAGTTTGCTCACCTGTAAAAGAAAGATAACAATAGTACCTACTTCAAAAGGTTGTTGTGAATAATAAATGAATTAAGATATGCTAAGTGCTTTGTACAGTGCCTGGCACATAGGAACTATTAGAATTGTTAATTTGTATTACAATCACCCTCTTTCCATCACCACCATTACTACTATATCAAAAAGAGCCAACCCTAGATGACTAGAATCATCTGATCACACAAAGATTCACCACATAATGTATAGACTAGCCTCAGAACATCTAGAAATACTCAATAAAAAGACACCTCATCATAGCACCCACATATCCTACAGAGCACACTTAGAATCTTAAACCAGATGCCACTCACAACACACAGAAGTGCATTACAATTAAGAATTTTGCTTTGCAATGCACAGGCTTGCTTTATAATACACAGACCCATTCCACAACACCCAGATTGGATGTTGCTGATGCTGGCAAGACCCAGCATCACCCCACAAGGCACAGAACCACAACACACATACACACCCTGAATGCATAGATATGTCCTCCATCACACCAACACACCTTAATACATCCTGTCATGCACGTATTTTGGTCTCATAACAGGTGGCTACCCCTACTATTCACAAACATGCTCCTAAATTCATAGTTCTAAATTTACATCATCACATAATGCAGAACCCCCTTCCCATAACACATTTACTTACTCTTATCCTATGTTTTACCTATAAAGAACTCCATGTCCCACATCTCCTAACTTGCCCAGAAATCTGACTTGCCTCAGAGAACTACCACACAGGTCCCACACCACACAAATTTGCTCTATAATGCCTAGATAAGTGCTACCATGCAGAGATATCTCCCTAAACACAAATCCCTCCTAAATTCACAGTGTCACATAGGAACACACACACAAATTCATCCCACAACATGCAGACTTGCACTAAAACACCCAGATTCACACAAGGTAAAGCCAGGCTCACAATGCAAAAACCCACTGCACCGTGCCCACACTAGCACAAGGCAAAGACTAGCCTCAGCTCACTCAGGCTCAACCCATATAATATAAAACTTGGTCCATGATACCTAGACTCTCTCTGTGGTTAAAAACTCATACTCACAACGGAGACTGCCTGGCTTATAATCTCGAGTACATCACTTACTAATTGTGTGACTGTAGAAAGGTTTCTTGACCTCTCTGTGTCTTAATTTTCTAAGCTATTAATTATAAATGATAATGGTATCCACTTTGTATGGCTGCTAAGAGGAATAAATGAGTTAATGCCTATAAAGTGTTTAGAACAGTGCTTGGTAAAGAATGATTGTTATGATGTTAGCTGATCATGTTGTTGCTGTCATTGTTGTTGTTACTACACATGGAACTGGACCATAATGGTAAGAGTCAATCTAAAACAACTAGAATCAACCCACAACACAGAGAGTATCTCCCATAAAGCACAGAATCACAACTCATACTTTCACCACTCTTTCTGTGCAGTATTCACGTTGACTGCATCTAGCCCACAACACCTAGAATCATCTATCAAAGTCTCTGCATAACACCTAGACTCATCACACAACACCTAGACACACTACAGTGCACAAACATACCCATGAAACAGAAATTCATTCTTGCAAAGAATCATCCCAGTTCAACCAGACGCACCCTTTCGTACACATACATGCTCCACAATACACACTCACCTCAGAACATCACATCAGCCCCACAATGCAAAGAACTCACTTTAAAGTCTCTAGAAACAGTCCACAACACATATACTTCTCCAATGCACAGAATTATGACATATCACATAAACTTGGCTACAATGAACTGACTAGCCTCACAGCATAAGAAACTAGAGCATGCCGCACAAAACACAGATTCTCCTTACAATATACATATTGGTCCAGAAAAACACTGTCCTGTCTATATAACACCAAAACTTGCCTCATGGAAGACAAACATGTTGGACAACACATGTTAAAATATGTCACAATATCCGCATATGCCTCATAATACAGAGACTTGTTCCACCACACCCAGACACACCCCATATCTCCCAAACTTGACTTACAACCACCAGACTTGCCCCATAACACATGGCAAAAACCCATAATCCAGTGGTCCTCAAACTTTTGTTCACCAGGGACCCGTTTCATGGAAGACAATTTTTCCATGAATCAGGCGGCAAGAGGGATGGTTTGAAGATGATTCAAGTACATTACATTTATTGTGCAGTCAAAGCTCTCTGCTAATAATAATCTGTATTTGCAGCTGATCCCCAGCACTAGCATCACCGCCTCAGCTCCACCTCAGATCATCAGGCATTCGGTTCTTACAAGGAGCGCAAACCTAGATCCCTCACATGCACAATTTACAGTAGGGTTCGCGCTCCTATGAAAATTTAATGTCCCTGCTGATCTTATAGGAGGTGGAGCTTATGATGTGATGTGAGGGATGGGGAGTAGCTGTAAATACAGATGAACTTTCACTCACTCACCTACTATGCAACCTGGTTCCTAACAGGCCACAGACTGGTACTAGTCTGTGGCCCAGGGGTTGGGGACCACAGCTATAATCAACAGTCTCTCCCTACCACACATAGTCTGACCACACAAAATAACCTCTTCCTGCCACAGTTTCCCTCACAGCAGCATATCCCCCAAAAGATGGTCTACACATAGGAAAACTCAACACGCAGACTACTGCACAAGACCAAGACTTGCTTTGGAACACCCAGATCCATTCCACATTATACAGAATCACATCCAAAATACCAGACTAGTCCACTAAACCGTGGACAGCCTCCACAATTCTTCGATAAAATCCACAACACACATAGATGCCTCACAACACATGGAAATACACAGACTCTATGCTTAACACACAGATCGGCTCCATAAAACACTTTTTACCTCTATAAAACCTATCCTAGCATCAGAAGAAATTCTGGAAAATAAACACAGAATCAATAAGGCACAGATATATCCCATTTCAACCAGCCTTGCCTTATAACACTCACACTCATCTGAAACAGAGATTCATCCCACCACATGCAGAATGGGCTACCAGCACCCAGACTAGCTCCAGAACACCCTAGACAGGACCCACGATATGCAGACATAACCCCACATATACAACTTATTCCCATATTATGACTACTGACCCCACAAAACACTTTCTTCCTCCACAATACCAACACTTGCCTACCAGCATATAGAAATACCAGACAATATGTGGACACTTCTTACAATTACAGATTTGCTTCACAATACTAAGACATGCAGCAACATACCCGGACTTATCCCAAGACACACAAAATGACCTCATGACAACTGAACTCCTACCATGACCCCCAGGCCTTCCCCAAAATACATGCACATGCCTCATGATACACATAGTCTGCAGATAACAGACTGGCCCTAAAAAATAAGTTGTTAATTCCACAGCACCAAGACTTAGCTAAGAGCACACAGAAATGCTGAGCAAACCACACATAAAACCCCACAATACATAGACATGCCCTGCACCACCCACAGTCACTCCATGACACCCAGTCTCATTGTAAAACACTGATCCAGAGACTCACCATAAGACATTTAGACTAGCATGTGAGATCCAGATTTACCCCTACCAGACCTCAATTGCCCCATGTCACCCAGACTTATATTGCAATAGTCAGACTTGACCTGTAGCAACCTGATTTGTCCCATAACAACCAGACCAGACTATCCACACAGCACATATAGACAGGTCCCCCAAAATCTTTGCTTGTCTCCACAACATAGACTTTCCTCATAGCACACAGAAATGCTGAAAAACACAGAGACAAGACCTGCAATGCCAAGACATACCCCATAAGACCAGATTTGCCACACAACACCCGTAAAGGCCCCACAAAACTCCAAATTGCACCACAACATAGACTGACTCCGCAGTTACTTACTTCAACAACATTAAGACATGCACATGAACACACAGAAATGTTGAGTAGCACACAGAAAAAACACATAAAGCACAGATATGCCCCACCACACTTAGACTCATCTCATAATACTCAGGTTCACCTGTGACTGCCAGATTCACCTCTAAACACCTAGACATACTCCATAGCACCCTGACTTGCTGCACAAAGCCAGAAACATCGAATATCATTCAAACACCTCCCAACAGGCTAGACTTCCCTGGCAACCCACACTTGCCCCACAACACATAGGAATGGCCCACAACCAAAAGACTTCTTACAACTTACAGACTATCCAGATACAAAAAAGATCTTTGCATTAAAACTTGCCTCATAGCACATAGAAACAGTGGACAAAACACAAAATCCCCATAGTGCATGAGTATGCCTTGTAACACCCCTACTGAGCCTCATAAGACCCAGGCTAACCCAGTATCACAGAGCAAATACCCACAATAAACATACATGCCCTGAAATACACAAATTCATCCCACAACGTAGACTGTCCCTGTAAACACTTTTTGCCTCTACAACAAAAAGACTAGCTTCACAGAATAGAAAAATGCTGGACAGAACATACACAATAAAATAAACCTCAGAGACTTAGCATTCATTACTCATATTTGTTACATCATAACAGGACTCATCCCATGACACACATATCTACCCAGCAATGCCAGACTTTTAGCTTCATAAAATAGCTTCTTGCTTCTACAATGTCAAAACTTGTCTCATAGCACAAGTCTGAGGTGGTGGAGAACACTCAGACAAAACTCTTAACATACTAAATATCACTCAGGTTCACTTCACAGTATGAAACCTAAGCCCATGAAACCCATACTAGCCCCACAATACCAGACACACCTCATATCACCCAGTCTAGCTTTACAACAGCCACACATGCCTGAGTAATGCAAATCAGCCCCACAACTTCTGAAAATACCCCATGTACAACAAACTGTCCCGTAACACAGAAACTTGCCAGGCAAAACAACTTCTTGATACCATGACATGTCTCACAGCACACAGAGAGGATTTAAAACAAACAGAAAACTCTTGCAATGTGCAGATATATACCAGTACTCGCTGGTATATATAACAGAGCCTCACATAGCAAGATCCATACGGTCTCACCATATATAGACACGTCCCACAACACAAAGATGTACACTCAATGATGGAGACTCTCTCCATAACATGCATATTGATCCAACAAAGTATTTTTGGACCTCCACAACAGCCAAATTTGACTCAGAGCATACATAAATGCTGAACCATATGAACAAAACCTATACTGCTCAGATATGCTCCACTGTTTGAAGGCTTGTTGCAAAATACCTAGACTTACCCCATGATATACAGACTTGGCCCATGAACCCACGCTCACCTTGAATTACAGAGACTGACCTAGCAACACTCAGATGTGGCCCATAACTCAAGGCTATGCTCTGCAAAACAGTTCCTCACCTTCATAACACCAAGGCTTGCCTCAAGAACACAGAAAGGATGGACATTAGAGACAAATTATACAACACAGAGACATGCCCTGTGACACTCAGATTTGCAGCACAACACCCAGACTCACGCTATGATGCTCAGATTTATTCAATAACATTGATTACTCCACAACATACAGACATGACCTAAAACACACAAACATCACCTACAACTCACAGACACACCCAACAACATGGGCATGCCACACAATTCACAAACTTTATCTACATTGCCAACAGTTGTCTCACAATGCAAAGAAATTCCGGATAACACAGTTAAATTAAAAAAATACACAGATGCACCCTGCAGCACCGAGACTTCCCTCACATCTAGACTTGCCTTATGGCACCCGGACTTACCCTGTATCATACACATTTAGCCTGTAACACTCAGCCTGGCCCCATACGTGCCCATGCCCCACAACATATGCACATGCCCCCCAACACATGGACATGCCCACAATACACAGACATGCTACACAACAGAATACTCCCCTCAGAGCTCGTGGAATTCCATCACAATGCACAACTTTACCTCACAATGCAAAAATTTACAAAATGCTAAGATTTGCATCACAATACACCCAATATTACCATAACACTTAGATTTTCCTCAAAAGTCAGTCTTGTATGACAGATATGCTTTACAACACCTATAGTGAACCTACAATGAAAAAGCCTGCCCTACAATGTCCATACTTACTCCCTAATACCAGGACATGCCCTATAACCCACAGGCAAGTTCCACAATGCAAAAATCTCCCTATAATGCACAGCTTCACTCTACAGCATGCAGTTACTCTCCTATGAGAAGAGATTGCAAACATTCAGCCTCACCCACAAATTCAGTCTTGCCACACAACACTAACATGTCTCACAATGCACAAACTAGCTTCATAATACCCAAATACAACTTACAATGGATGGATGTACTCTGTGACAGAAAGGTTTCCCCACAAACACAAAATTGTGTTCTGATGCACAGATTTACCCCCAAAATGCACAAAATCACTCACAATGCAAATACCTCACAAAAAACACATGCCACCTCAACACTCAGAATTGCCCCAGGACTCATATACTTGCTCGACAGGATCAAACCCTTCCCCATATTGTACAGATATGCTCCTTACCAGACATGCCTTTTACAACACAGCCTCAGCCCACAAGGCATCCTTGACCCAATAACCAACATATCCATATGTAGGCACATAGCAATATATAGTCATAAATTTACACACCAGACTTGCTCAGACACAGAGAAACATGCAGAGACACATACATACAGACCTAGGCACCCAGAGGATGTGTTTTACTTTAATATGCAAAGGACAGGTGTACACACAAAAACACATACAAAAACATAAATATACTCTTAGAGGCTCATGAGGCACAGACATAGTCTCAGATACTCCTTGATGCTTATGTGGAAATGTAGACAAGCACATATGTACCCACATAGGCACATATGTATTTGCATGTATGCATATGTACCTATAGACGTATACATAGAGTCCTCCATGTATAGACATCTATGTATGTGTTTTTATCTATAAATAGAGACACAGAGACATTTATACAAACACTGAGACATAGAGATTCATTCATAGGTAGATACAGCTTAAACTAATGTAGTTTAAACAGGTACATACTGCCATATGCTCACAGAGTCACATGAATATTCACATAGAGGCATAGAAGTTATTAAAATACACATGCATAAACATGCTCATCCCCACATATACAACATAAGAACTCATAGTTTCCAGAAGTACATGTAGATATGCACACACGTGCATGTATGAAAATGTACACAATAGTATACATGCATGTGTGTACATATGAAGATGCACAAGCATGCAGGTGTGCATACATAAATGCATTTGTTCATGGAGACATATGGATGCACACACAGATGAAACAGATAGACTCTATATGCATATACACACATAGTGGTATATACATTTATAGAGATATGTGTTTATATACATATATATACAGTATATATATTTATAAACACTATGCATGTATATATAGAGAGATGCATTTAGAAGAGATGTATACATATACAGATACACATCCACAGAAGCATACACCTACAAATATAAACCTATAGACACAGACCCAAAGGCCCACAGAAAGATATGTATGGGAAAATACATTTATACTCTAACACTGACTCATTCAGATACACAAGAGGAGCATGAAAAGTCACATGCATGTTCAGAAACACAGGTACATTTACAGAGACGCAGACATGTGCACAGAGAGAGTTACAGACACCCACACCTATATAGACTCACACAGAAATGGACACAGAAGCTTGTGCAGATGCATGCAGAAACATATATGCTGATTTATAAGCATGCATATATACCATGTGGATGTACACATACACATGGAGATCCAGAAACATATACCTGTACAAACATAGGTGCACAGATACTTATAGAAGCATGTGTATCTATTGACCTGTGAACACAGACATAGAAATGTGTGTACCCACACTGTAAGAGTCCAGCATACCTTCCTAGACACATCTTTGGGCAGACACTTGTGTGTATAGTCATATATGTACATGCAAACATAGATAGGCATACATACCACAGAGGTGTGCAAAAAGAAACCCAGGGACAAAGGCATACATGTACCACAGGCATGCACAATTCCCCTGCATACTGAGTCCTAACATGTACACAGCAACATACACATCTGCACATGGATGCCCAGATGCACTCATCCAGAAATTCACCCAAAGACATTCATTTGCATGCAGATAGATTTATGCCAATGTACACACACACATATCCCATAGGCATGCAGATCGTTATATAGACATATGCATGCAAACACAGGTGGATGAACACATAGATAAACACTGAGGGTACACATGTGGGTATAGAAGCTCCCAGACACAGATGCTGTCTTATATGCCTGGACTCATGCAGAGATAAATACAGGTGAATGCAGGTACAATCCCACAGACTTTCGTATATACACATAAACATGGCTAGTGACTCCAAGGAAGACAAGATTTCACCCACTTTTAGGGTGACACACTCAAAACTCCCCATGGAACATTAAAAGGAGCTCTATAACTGCACTTGCATATACAAATACATAAATGCACATGCAGATGCACACTCAGATGTCATGTCTACTCATACAGAAGTACCCAATCAGATCACTTACTAAGCATATAAAAGCAAGAGACATATACATATATCTATATACAGTACATACATAAACACTCTAAAAGTTGCAATATGCACATACAGACATCCATAGGCACGCAAATGCACAGATGCACAGATATGCACCCCCACATGTCAACATATACAAGACATTGGCACACATACACCCACCCACAATGATCTACAGGCATGCTCCTATACTCATAATGACACATAAGTTCTAAATGCACATGGAACACAGGAATGCACACACACATACACATGTGCCAACATAGATATATAGATGCACTCACGGCCTTAATCCTGCCACAAACAAAAACACAGACTCATGCACAGACGTTGAGACACATGGAGATTTGTACATATGAAAACACAGACATATAACCACAAATAAACACTTTTTCAAAAGAGGCTGTGACTTTTAATGTGGCCTTGTCTTAGCCTCTTCAAGAGGGAATGAAGGTTATCAAGCCTGCTATGCTGACTATACTGTATAAAAGTAAATGTGGAAATTACCAGAAAGATCCCTAAAAGGTCTTTAGTGCACATGTGGGTGTGCACACATATTCACACACACACGCACATGCACTTCCACTTGCACAGTATCAGAGACATATAATCACACAGAAGCACAGAAATATAAACACGTGTATAACCAAATATAGAATGATACCTAGGCACACACACACATACACACACTGAAACATCACACAGTAGTACTTAAGTGCATAGCTATTAAAGTTAAAAACAAAACATAACAACACCTGCATTTTCATCCCAGCTTCATTACTTACTAGTTCAATGATTTGGGGCCATTTTCTTGCTTTCTCAACTGTAACATAGAGGTAACATTAGCACCTATATTTAAGAGTTTTTTTGACAATTCAGTGAAATGAAGGGATCAACTTAGTGCTTAGAAAGTCATAGATGCTGCTAGTGCTGTTAGTTTTTGGTTTTGCTACAAAGTTCTTAGCTAGGTAGGGTTTGGTGTTGTGGTCAAACAGCATGTTTATATAATAGAGATGTACTAATTAACATTATTTTAATTGTATTAACAATAATTTATTAACATATTAATAAAAATAGATTATGTTCACAACCAAGTCCATTTCTGAAATTCTCAGAAATGATAAGGGATTATTACTGTCCCTGGCAAATGGAAAAACATGAAACAAATATTATCTGCTTTTGTTGTTTGTTGTTGCTATTACTGTCATTAGTATTCTTTTCTTTTTGCAGGAGGAGCTAGAAGATTGAGAGAGAGCAGAGTGGAAGTGGGGGAAGAGGGCTGCATGTCCAGTGCACATTTGCCACCTAGTGACCAAATTCAGTAAGTACCATATTTGCGGATTGCTCAAAAACAACCCTAAAACTTCGCCCATTGCAAGGTTGTGTAACCTCCCTGGCGAATAAGCACTTATACATCAAGTTATAGCAGTTCTGCTGTATCTAAAAATAAAAATAGTCATAAAATGAAAACAGATTTTTCTTTCTAAATTTCCTCCCTGCCACCCCAAATTTCCCTGTAGGCTTCACTGAGACTGTGTTCTATAGCAGTGGTCTTCACGCTTTCTAATTTGCCACCTAAAACCATTTTGGAAAACAATCTACTCCATCACATATCTTGAAGTTAACATCTGAAATTTCTTATCATAAATTTAAGTATTTGAAGAATTATTATTTCCAGCATATTATAAATAGTTATACTTTTAAATAAATTGATTTCATTACATTTTTAATGCATCCATTCAAATAAAAATACCATAATAATTTGATACTCATCATTGTTGATTTAAAAGAAAAAACAATGAATGAGGTCTTCTTTAAGTCAGGAATTTTACACGATTGTTCTCTCTCCTTGAAATCACTGTTCCATTCAACTTCCTTCACATAATTTATACCAATGTAATATATTTTTATGTTTAAAGGCCCTTTGTTGGTTACCCTACTATACATTTCTGTGAGAAGTATATAGGGATTGAAATAAATTTTCCATGACTCTAAGCCTCTAAGTATTAACATTTTTACCATTAAATTGTTAGTGTACAGTTAATCAGAAGAGCATAAAATACTGTATATTTTGATAAGTAATTAGTAAAAATGAAAAGTAGAATTAGTTGGGAATGCATCTCTCAAGTAAATATGACTTTATTTTTCCCCAAATTAGTTCTTGAATCTGAGGATGATTCTTACTTATTTCTAAGAGACAGAAAGCAGTATAAATTGTGTTCCTGTTTTTCATTATTATAGATAAAAGAACCTGGAAAACTTTGTTCCCATAAAGAAGTAGAAAGGAGTGGAATGAATGTGCAAATCATGGGTCAAAAATCACACAGTGACTCATCATTGAAAATAATTTTTAATGATTGTAAAATTTTTAAGTAAAATTTTAAATTTTTGACAGACAACCTGATTAGGCCTATCTTCAATTCTGGGAAAGCAAAAAAACCCCAAGATTTATTGCTGAGTCATTTATTTTTTAAGTTTCCAGGAATTTTGCTAAAACAGCTTTCCTAACATTTATTGCATGAATATTATATCTGTTATACTTTCATTTTGAGACATTGTTTTAAATCCACTATTATTTACAAAAGGTTGGAAAAATCAAAGTACTTGGATCAATACATCTTTGCCAATACAACAATTTTGATTAAACAGCTTTAATTTATTACATCCTTTAAATATAAAAGCTTGGAGCTACAGATTTGAATTGATGATTTTATAGAAAATATTTATAGCATAATTTAATTGGCAAAGGCGGTGTGCATATAAAAATAATCAGACAAATCAGCATTTACTTTCAAAAAAGTGCCTGACCTCATTTTTCAATCAAGAAAAACTGGCAATATGCATTTTGAGGAGCATTATTAAAGCCATGGAGCAATCAGTAATGGAACACCTCATGTTAAATAGATAACTAACAAAGTAAATATAAGTTAACATAAAAATGAGATTCTTTTTATCAACTTCAAAATAAATTAAGAAATTAAGTAATAATTTTGCTTCTCATATATAATTTAAAATTAAACAATGTAATATGCAACTAACATATAAGTCATACGTGAACCAAGGAATCTGATGGCAGGCAGAATTTCCCTTGGTAAATATATACGCATAAGTTTTTAGAACATCGGCACCGGTTTCCAGAAATAATTAACTAAAGATAACATATAAAATATTTTTAAATCCAAGAATTTTATTAGAAAACAGAAGAAAACTTTTTGACTATATTTTATGAAAGAGAGAAAAGTATATATTACTAAAAACTAGTTGGTCTGGCAACTCGCTTATTTTATTTTTGATAATAGGAGGTAGAAAATATAAAAATTATTTATAAAATGAAATGAGGATTGAGTTTAATTGGAAAAGATATTTCAAGATACAATCTGAGAATACATGTTCTAACAAGTTCAATTGAATGATGTACATTATCTGAAAGGAATCGCATACAATTTCTATGTATAAGTTTTACCAGTGTAAACATTTTTTAATAATGGAGAACAGTCCAGTTATATTTAAAAGAACTAGCATCAGCAACATATACCACTATTAGTTAGGCGGTGCTTTCATTTCCAATTGATGACACATTTCAGTGACTAGTATTGAAAATAGCTAGAAAATAATTTTAAGCATATGGGGAAAAAGAGTTGTTCTTAGGCGAGAATACACATGAAAGTTGAGAATCTGAAAGTGAATCTGAATCTGAAGAGAATCTGAATCTGAATCTCATACTATCTCTATTCATATACATTTTGAATAGAATTTGTGTAACAATAGCCTAGTTTGAAGACCACTGTTCTAGACAGTTGTCACCAGGGTTGTTCCAGAGCAATATATTGTTGGCATTGCTGGAATAACCAATTTGCTGTCACCTTCACAAAGGTGCAGTGGAAGTAGCTGCCTCCTTTAAATTTCTGCCAAATGCTTATATGATTGATCATGTTTGAGTAAAATGTTCTGGAAGTGATTATTTTGCTTTGTTGATAAATACATATATTGGCTAGACCTGTGTTGTCCAGTATGGTAGCCACAATCATATGTAGCTATTTAGTATCTGAAATGTGGTTAGCATGATCTGAGATATGGTGTAAATATAAAATACACACTGGATTTGAAAGACAGAGCAAACATAAATAAAGTATTTGACTAATATTTTTATATTGATTACATGTTAAAATGATATTTGGGGTCTATTGAGTCAAATATTACATATCATTAAAATTAATTTCACCTGATTTTTAAACTTTTTAAAATGTTGCAACATGAAAATTTAAAATTACTAATTTATGTGGCCCACATTATATGTATTATATGATAACACTGGTCTAAAGCTTGTATTGGAAATCTCTAACTTTCTCTAAAACCACAACTACGGAAAAAATTGATTGTTTACTTATCTGGTCCAGTATATTGCTATTCTGATGTAACTAATACTACCTTTTACTAGTTTTTGATTTTCCATGTTGGGGAAATTTCTAATAGTAATCAGGAAAAAATTTTACTATTCAGCTCTAAGAAACAATGGTGATATAGCACATCTTATATTTTCCTGGTTAGAGCTGGAACCCATACTACTAAGTGAAGTATCCCAAGAATGGAAAAACAAGCACCACATATATTCACCAGCAAACTGGTATTAACTGAGTAGCACCTAAGTGGACACATAGGTACTACAGTAATAGGGTATTGGGGAGGGGGGAGGGGGGAGGGGGGCGGGTATATACATACATAATGAGTGACATGTGCACCATCTGAGGGATGGTCATGCTGGAAACTCAGACTTGTTGGGAGAGGGGGGGAAAGGGCATTTATTAAAACCTTAAAATCTGTACCCCCATAATATGCCGAAATAAAAAAAAAACCACCAATATTCCATTAAGGATATTTGAAAAATAGTCTCATGAGTACCTAGAAATTTTCCCAGTGTGAAGTTTGGAAGGCTTCTCAGTGATTTCATGTGAAGCTTTTCAAACTCTTCAAAATTTCCTGTGAGATATAACATTTGATTGAAGACATGAAGTATTTCATCACATCTGAAATATTTTTGTGTAATTATTTTTTATATAACACTAAGAAAAAATACACTTCCACATTAACTATGATGTTCTGCTATCATATTCATAGAATTTTAATTTTGTGTTTACTGAATGAGCTCTTTTAGACTAACTAGACATATATTTCTATCATATATTATGATAGAACAACAGCTGTGACCAAGTTCAAACATACGCAAACAATGCCACTTCCATTTGCCTGCCTTTTGGCCCACAGTGACTGTAAAATTCCATTAATCATAAGGTGCATTCTGAATTCAGAGATGTCAAAATGTGAAAAAAAATACATCTTAGAACCGATTAAATATGGTAAGTCATTTGTCAAGAAAAAAGGATCATGAAGGGTAAAAAGCCAAACTCCAAGTCATCATCCTAGTGAAAACACCTTTTCTGTGTAGTCTTGTTTTAACAAAATTAAAATGTGGCTCTCATTTAAAATTTTATCATAGTCCTCTTAAATGGTATTACGCTGTGAGTTTCGTTATAATTGGTATTTGATGGATTTCCTAACATTCTGTTCTTTGTTTCTTGGCTTGGAAGTGAGAAGGCTAAGGAAGACAGGGCGGGGGACAGACTGGATTTCTCCTGATCAAAAATGTCTAGTACCTGTGTTGTGAGAACCACTTAGCATAGACTTGTGTGAGGTGGTGCTTTCAATGGCTCTGTTCCTCATAAGTGGCTGACAGAGAAATCCTTTCTCCTTGTCATTGTTTAGTTTAATCTAAACATAATCAATGCATCCTTTTTTGATTGAAGGTCCTAAGAGGGGAAGGAATGCTATTGAGCTGCTTTCCTAAGTTTTGTTTTATATTGTATTAAAGAGGATCAGCAAGATGCATCAAATTTCCCCAGGAAATACATTACCTCAAGAGTCAATGAAATAAAAACCAGTTTTTTCATCAACGGATTATGGCACATCTCTGATTCTAATGATACTCTTCATGATATAAGAGATTTATAAGAGGTAACAAAGTGAAACTTTTTATAAAATGAGAAGAATAAGAGAATCAATGACATGTTTCCTTCCTGTCCCTACAGTAGTAAAACCTTGTACTAAGACTTAGGTATGTCTTGAAAGTTCATAAGTAGCCAATTCATGGGCTTGTGACCTGTGCTTTGGCACAGGGACCTTTGCTTAGAAGGGCTCATGCTTGGCTTAATGTTCTGCTGTCACTGTCTTGAAATTCTTAATAATTTTTGGAAAAGGGGCCCCATATTTTCATTTTACACCAGGGCCCACAAATTATTTAGCTGACTCTGTTCAAAAGGAAATACT